ACACAATACATAACCTTTGTTCTATCTTAGCTTCCACGCTGATACAAATGCAGAAAACACTCACAGACCTTTTTATGATATTCATAGTGAGCTGCTAAGAAGTGAATCTGAGAAGAATAAAAACAGAAGAGTTTCTGCTCTAAACTCTATTTTCACGTCCATAAAGACACATGACCAATCACAGCAGGTGAGAGGAGGAAGTAAGGTGTCGGTTCCAGAAAGTTAATGTTCAGATGAAGAACTTCTCATTTCAACCATTATAACAGAGTTCTCTTGATGTTCCCTCTTTTGACGGACGGCAGAGCCTTCAGCTTTCTCGTATTTCTTCTTCTTCCAGACAAAATAAACAGCAATCCCGCTCAATATAAGAATCACCACAGCTGCTCGCGAACCAAATATGAGCAGGGAGCGATCTGTTCAGATAAAGAGACACAAACATTACATGTCATCCATGTTATTGCTGTGACAGGACTTAATTTAAGTACCATGAGTCATCCGTGCTGGAAGAAGTCACAGTTTGATTGGAGGATGAGATATTAGTGGGGGGTTTAATTGACACTGGGATGACAGTCTCCTTACCCACAGTAGTGTCTGTGATCATTGTTGGCATGAAAGAGCCTATGGGAAGGAAACAGATCAATCACTGATGCACAGAGTGATCATAATCAGTGTCATAATTATCAAACTGTTTTCTACTCGTGTTCTCACTCACATTTCCTCGCTTCTTTTGAGACACTTCTGATGTGATTCCTGACTGATTCGGGGGGGGGGGGGGTGACAACTTCTGATGGTGATTCCTGGGACTGAGCAGACCAGTTTGTCCTTGGAGACGGTCTTTTTGGTTTTCAGCAGTTTGATTTGTTAGTCTTCAAATTTCCAGAAGAGGGAGCTGGAGGGTTGTCTGTCAGTGTGGTGTCCATTTCCAGAGTCAGCTTGTTTTACTTGGAGGACTGTCTCCTCCCTCAAGGAACAGGACACCCCTCATCTCTCCCTGGGACAGACACTCAGAAGACCAGCAAGGACAGAGGACCAGCGGAGCTTGGGAAGGAAACACACTCAATTAATTTAGCCTAGTTAACAGAATACTTTGACATTTTATTAGGTGAAAATACAGGAATAAGCATTATGTAAAATATGAAATCATTGTTAGGTTTAAGCAATAGAATACAGGAATGCTATTTCTATGAATATTACTACAATTTCCCCCAAATGTAGACAAAATATTTTTTTCCTTGATATGGATCAACCTGGTTAGAGTTCGCAGCGTTCTGATATGCGCTCCATTTGCAATCAAAGATCATAAGAGTGTAGTTCACCACCATTCAGTCCTGCTTCAGGGTTGCTTGATCTAAATGTCGATCACTGGGGGAGTCCCAATATGTATAAATAAATCTGTCTGGCTATCAGGGATAATAAATCACTGGGCCCTGCTTCTTACGCCCTCCTGGGGAGGTATTGATGTTGTTTGTTACTTAAACCATCGCTATCTGGAATATTTTCTGATGGCACTGTCCATCAGCTGGAGACCACAGTTCCTCCCCAAAGCTCCCATAACACTGAGGGCTCCATCCTGTTCTGCCATCACGGTAGGTTTTCCACACCTTTGAAACACAAGTTAGGGGAAAAAAAGTCAAAGATTTTTTGTTCCTTCAGTGTCCTATAAAATCAATTACAAATGAGACATAGTCCAACCAGAAGACAGTGCGGTTTACGTTAACTGTTCTCTCTCAGACCACAGTTTGCCAAACAGCAAGTTATTCTTGTTGTTAGCTTGAGAGTTACACAGGGCCTGCTGACAGCGGAATAATTTCATAAAAAATAACACCAATAAGAGGAGGTCCTTCGAGCTATTATAGATTATTAATCTAAAGTAACATTTTACTAAGTTACAGTGGATGTACTGTATATTTTACTTAGAGAAATTCTATTTTCTCACTCTCGCTACTTTTTTACGTACTGTGTTGTACTTTTTTACGTTCATTACCTTTTATTTCAGAATATTTTTCTTAACATAAAAACAAAATAGGGATTTTGCACTGACAGACAAAACTAACAATCTGTAAAACTGCTAAATTAGCTAAAACTAGCCAACATTCCAAAGGCTATCAACTAATAATCCAATAAAATTACATATAAATATAATATGTAGTATATTCACTAACAAAGGGACCACGCCTATGAAACGTGGAGGAATTTAGAAAGGGTTTATTGCATCTTAATGGAATAAAAAAAAAAAAAAAAAAAAAAAAAAAAAAAAAAAAAAAAAAAAAATATGAAAACCGATGTGACGGTAATGCTTCAATAGTGGAGCATAATTAAATAACTGTAGTTTCGCTGAAAACCGATGTTGCATCATACTGTTAGGAGGATGGAATGGATTCTTGCAAGGTTGAGGATTTGGTGGTATCGAACGGAGGATGGTGGATGACGGATTGGAAGAGTTGGAGGATAAAGGGTTGAAGGTGGAGACTGGAAGCTATCGACAGCAAGGGTGGAGGGATGAACGAATAAGAAAGGTGGTTTGTTGGCGGATGGCGTAATTGGACGGTAAGCTTCGGGCAATATATGGTAAGGAAGGACCGGAGTTGTGAAGTTTTGGTTGGAGGCCTTAGATGAAATAGCTACTGTAGGGAAATTCTGGCTCCTTCTTATAGATAAAAAAAGAGGGCCTTATTACTAAACTTAAGGTAACGGCAAAACACAAGAGAAGGGATTATACACTTAGCGAAACATAACCTACAAAATATTATTCCTTCCTAAATGTTAGAAGCTTTAGATTTAAGACAGGAGAATTTTCTTGTGCCACTAGAGCCAAAAAAGGAAATGCGTGACAGCCAAAACATTTAATTTAACAACTCTTGCACAACCTTAGCCAAGGAATGTTTCTTTATTTGAATATGTGGATATGCAGGCCATATGTTTATAGTATTTATATACAAGGCCCCATCAGCTTAAGAAAACACTAGAAAAGGTTTAAGGTTTTTTCAGTATTATAGATGTTTATTTTGTGCAGTCATTGAACATGAACTTTTAATTGGCCCCAATGTGATGACATCAGATTGTACTTTTAAATTTACTTTGATGCCACAGCTTCATAAACATGTTAACATCTCACCATGAGAGACTCCGAGTACCATCAGCAAACAGTCCAATCACAGCTTCCATATCTCCTCAGTGTTTTGATCCAGTCAGCAGTTTCCCGACAAAACCTTTTCTACTTCATTCAATATCTAACATTGCACATCTGACTCTGAGCAGCCTGAACGTCTTCTTCTTTAGTGATCAGCGTCAGAAAGCTTCCCCTGACTATGCGTTGTGACAACAGTTGAGAGGAAAAAGAGGAAGATCAGTTAATGTGGCAAAGTTATCCACCCTAAAAAGCCCCAGAGAACCACTAGTTATCTGCTTATCCAGTTGATTCTTCAGTTTGCACACTATATTTCTTTCTGTTATCAGACAAATAAACACCCACCACTTTTTACTTGTAAATAATTAAAAAAGTGAAACAAGTTAACCTTTTCCTCTATTTTTGATAGGCAGAGCAAAGATGAATGCAAATTGATAATGACTCAGAAAATATCTGATTAACATAAAATGTTTCAGTATTTTTTGTTTAAAATCATTTTCACTGTGAGGGTTACACTGGCTAAAGATCTGTGTAAACCAAAAGTCTTGTAAAGGCCTATGTGTTCTGTTCAAGATGCTATAAATTCAAGTTCCTTCAGAACTGCAACACTGCGTCAACATAATATAATTAAATCCACATTTATTTGCCAAATGGACTGAATGAATTCTGCCAACATAAAGGTGTTTTAGTATCATCGACAAAACATATACATACATATATTTAGACTCAGTACTTGATTACAGTAAAACAACATTTCTTTTTCTGTTTCACAGAACAGGAAACAGAGTATGGCAGCCAACTGCTCACGTCAGTTCCTCATTTATGTTTTGTTTTTATGTTATTGCCTAAGGCTCTGCATTAAGACTTTATTATACGTTCATTCATGAATTTGTACTTCTTTTCAATTTTATGCTTTGTTTACAACCAGTATTAAAAGAAAGATCCAGAAGAGATGTAGGCAAAATGTCACTATTTTTTATTCCTTTGATAAAATCAATCTGCAGTCAGAGGATTATTATTTTGTCTTTTGTCAGAATTATACATCGATCAACCATAACATTATGAGCACTGATAGGTGAAGTGAATAACACTGATTATCTGGTTATCATTGCACCTGTCAGTGGGTGGGACATATATTACGCAGCAAGTGAACATTTTGTCCTGCAAAAGGTTGAGTGTTAGAAGCAGGAAAAAGGGCAGGTGAGGATTTGAGCGACTTCAGAAGGGCCAAATTGTGATGGCTAGAGACAAAAAGTTAATGCTGATTCTGACAAAAAGGTGTCAGAAAGCACAGTGCATCACACATTTGTTGCGGATGGGGCTGCGTTATGGCTGATTGGTGGATAACTCAGCTGATTATTTTAGTTCCTTATTTTTAAGACAAATACTCACCCAAGGTGCTAAAATATGCACATTCATATCATGCAATAGGCTGCAGTGGTCTGATTACTCAAGCTTTATTTGTCTGTAATGTTCCTGGTTTATATCTCATCTATAATTGTACATGATGACTGTGTACAAATGTTTTTTAAACCATCAATACTAGAATTTGATCAAATGGGAATTGGGAAAACATACCTACAAGAATTAATTAATATATTCATATAATATTGTATTGATATTTCCATACCCAGGATGCTTGTATTTACTAATATTGAAACTTGTATGAAGTCATTTTAGTCTCAGGCCATCACCACACTGTTTCATTTCATTCAAACATCACAGTGATGCTTCTTGTGTTATTGACAGCATCATATAGTAAGCAGGACATTGCAGCCTACCTGTCTCCTTATTTCCTCATTTATGTTGGAAACATGTTGAGCCATTCAAGAGCTTCTTTTTCACTGGTTTGTGCAACAAGTATTACGTAAGCTTAAGAGAATGTGTCCTTAAAATGATGTTGGAGACTGAACCTTTTAACAGAAGTTTGTAAATAGTTTCTCAAATTGTGTGTGCTGAAAATTAGATGTTCAGGAAAAACCCTCATTGCACTCAACTATAAAGGAAGTAAAACAAGCATAAATAAAACTGCCATATAATATCAACCATACACCCAGCTTCTGCCACAAAACTCTGTTTTATTTTATTATTCCTGCTACATTCAGGCAATTGAATCATCGTTTGGGATTAGACACAGATGAACATTTGGATTAAAACATTTGCATAATGTGTACACAGTGTGACACCTTTGTACTTACAGTAAATGAAAATTAGACATAGGTTATTGGATTTTTCAGTGAATATTTACAGTGATTATAACTTCCAACATTATACATAGAAAAAGTATTAAACAAATATTGCAAACAACTGTGACGTCTCTGTAACTACAAAGTATATTATGAAAAACAAACATCTCTTATACTATAACTATGACATAATATGAGTGAAACCCAAACACAGCCAGCAGATGTCATCATAACACAACATGACTAATGAGCTTCAGCATCAACTAATAAGCAGCTGGACAGTTAGAAATAAACTACTTCAGCCATCTATTTCCTGGTAATCTTTTTTTTTTTCTTTTTAAGTTTTTGACTGATATGAATTTCAGCAAAAGCACACCAGACAACATCTAAATCATGATCAGTGATGTTTTATTACACTGATCATTTTTACTGTACGATAATGTTGGTTTGTATACTGATTACTATTATTATTACTATTACATGTGCTACACATGTGTTTTGTTTTTTCTTTTGGTGTTTTTATGTCTACTTTGGGTGGGCCACGTCCCCTTTCTCCCCTAGCGTACTTGTGATATGTTGCGTAGATCCACCTACGCAACATATCACAAACACTGTTTTCCTAACCTATTTGTCTGCTTATATAGTTAATTATTTGTATTATTATTATTATTATTTTGATTTCTTTGTTGTTGTTTTTTTGTCAGTTTTGTTGTTTTCTCTCTCTAGTCTTAAATCCCTCTCATTCACCTCCTTAATTGATTTGTAAATTAAAAACGTCACTCCTTAATCTTCCTTCTTGGTTCCCTTTTTTTCTCACCTCTTCCCCTTTATCTTGTAGATGCACGCACAGACTCATGTGCTCACATAGGCACACACACAGCCAACCCGAGCAGCAGTAACTGGCCGGCTTTAGCGTAACACTTCTTTTGTTATTAGTATGTTTTCTGTGCTATTATTAGTATATTTGTATTGTTTGTTTGTTTTTTAGTTTAGGGTTCAATGTGTCTGCCTTTGTTCTGTGTTTATCTGTGCAGTATATTTTTTAATATATAACATTTAATTGTTAGTGATGTTACCTGGTGCTATTAGAGATTTGTTTATATCAATAAAATGACTGTGTTAATAATAATGCAAAAATATAGAATATAACAATATCCCTGTATTTGAAATGGATCAAAGTATGCTTAAGACCTTAAAAGACATCTGGTGTGTGAATTATTATCAACAATCTTTTGCTGTTGTTTAACAAAGAGCAGATCAAACTACAGTGATTTACAAATGTACTAATATGGTGTCACAATATGCTGCTGCTGCCACTGCTGCACTACAATTATAATGCCATTAGTCTTTTTCAACACTAATTCAAGTCACAAAAAGAAAGCTCCAAAGATTTTTACAGCTCACAAGTGATGCAAAAGTGCTGTTTGCCATTGCCAGTCCTCAGTTTGGTCCAGTTCGTCAAAGTCCTCGTACTGAAGGTGTTTATTCTCAGTTATATAAATATAACTGTGGCTGCACAAAAGATAGAATAAAGTACAATGAGTGTGCAGTTTAAGCAGAACAAAAATACTTTGATGTTTCCATCAATATATTATTGTAATGAGTGGAATGCTGAAATACAAACAGACTGGAGAAATCTTACGTGGCTTCTTATCACGTCTCACTTTCTTGCAGACAAAGCAACATACCGATACCACTATCACCACTATTATTAGAGCACCCACTCCAATACATATGTACATAAAGAGGGGGAAATCAGATTCTGGGGAGAAAAAAACACAATGGTAATTATACAGACTTACAGCATGTATTGCATTTAAACATGCTTTTTTTTTTTGTCATTCATATATTACATTTTGGAAATTTTCCCTCAGCTAATTTATGCAGAATATGAACGTGATTTGAATCAGAAAGAAGGTATTCTTCCTCTGTATTGTAGCAAACTGCATAACATGGGAGATCCACTTTAACTGTGGGTGTGCCCCGGTTTGTTACGGTAGTTTCATTATTACAAAACATAAGATCAGAAGGTGCACGCCCTGCGTTTTTTTTCCAACTACCACTATGCAATAACTAAGGGCTCTATAAACAGATCCAAATACAAGTATCAGTGATAATCTGACATCTACAGCTCTATAGTGCAGGAGCTAGATGAATGTCCAGAGGAAAACATTCTGTGCTTATTTTTGGTTTATACACTTAAAGACATGTTTCTGAGGTGACTGACGAGCTAAACATTTTATTTGATTTAACTTTATTGGCAGATGTGTCTGAAATTTGTTGTGTAAAAACTATAGCAGGTTCATACACCTTACTCTGACAAAATGAGAATAACACCCTTCCTGATGTGCACTGATGAGAGCTGAGCAAAGAAGGAACTTTCTTTCAAAGGTCACCCACAGAGTAGGCCTATATTTCGTAAATGTATAAATAGTCAGAAACTAAATGGAGATTTTCTGTCTACATTTAAAAAAAGCCTATTCTCAGGTGCAATGTGCTGCCGTGCAATGCAAGACCCAGTTATATTTTTATTGTATTTAAGTAGATTTTCTGTGGAAGCCCAGAACAGCTGTGCTTGCAAATCATTTTTTTTCCAATGCTGTTTTAAGATCAGAGATCAGAGTTTATTATTTTGTTATCTCGGAAAATAAAAGACAGTTCTACTTCTACAAGATAATTTATCAAGAGAAAACGACTTTTGGTTTTCCAGAGA